TAGCTCAAAGAAGTGGCTTATCGTGTGGAAATGTATAGCTGACAAATCCTCTAAACGCATGTTGAGTCTAAATGTCGGGTGGAGGGGGGGGGAAACCAGAGGGTACTGAGAAAAATCCACACGACCACGGGGAGAACATGCAAACTCCAAATATACAAGCGTCAGTGTCGGCATCGGGATCGAACCTACGACCTCCTGTATACCAGTCGAGGTAGTTAACATCTCGCCACCGAGATGCTGACACGTAGGGAAAAATCCACCACAACACGTCCTTGCTACTGCCATCTTTCTAAGCAATACTCCAGAGCTGCGCGTCTACAGCACACCTGGGAAGCCCTGGCAATCGCCCACTAAATTCTGGGAGGCCCTTTGTAAATAGGTTTGGGTTAGCTGACGGGTTTGTTGTGTAACGTTATGCGAGTAAAAAAAAAAGCATTTGCAAACGCACAGGCATAAAGGCACGTCAAGGTTGGGAATAGATAGCATCTTGAAACGACACAAACAGTGCTGTGCCATAGGTATGAATCACCATCACCGTCAGCCACGGTCAATCCACTGCTAGATGAAAGCCTCCCCGAGTAGCCAACACCACAACTCACGATCACTCAATGCAATTTCACAACCGACGACCTGCACACGAACTGATTTCATCGCTGCATCTCCTCGGCGTGCACGCTTTAGATATATGTAAATACAAAATAACGATGTATATATTATACATATGCAAGGGAATCATGACGTAATGTTCTGTAATATACAATGAAAAAATATGCTTTGAATATTTCTGCACATATATCCTGTCCTATTGTGCAGCCGAAAATAATAACAATGGCCTTGAATTACCCAGGAAAGCCTTACTGAGTCTCAAGACCATATTTCAGGAGCATCCTGCATTTAGATGTTTGGCCAATTCCCTTAATGAGTGTTTTCGCGTGTTAACAAATGTATCAAGTTAAAGTCGTGACATTGACGCGAGGATAGACTAGGCGTGGGTGCAATCAAAATGTGCATGCACGTGTAAATTTGTGTCTGTGTGTGCGCACGCAAGTACATACACAACTTTAACGTAGCAATTGCATAACACTTGGAATAATTCAAGTTATGTGTGCAAGTGACTTGACATCGACCACAAGGTTTAGATAGAGTAATATAAAATATGATTTCATTTCCATCAACGTTAGGAAAAATACTTTATTGTATAACAATTTGCTCGTTTTAACATGCATGGTGTAAACCTAACAGGCTGTATTCCGTGGCTGCAATGATTCCGCTTGTGCTGCACGGGAGCAGCCCAACTGATTTGAGATAATTCTGTATAAGCCTGTGTGCTGCATGAGCAGTCATAATTATTTCTTGATAATTCGACAAAGTATAAATACATATCACAACAACAACACATTTACAGACACGCTATAACACATCGATAGACACAATGTTCCATCTCAAGGGATTACCCTGCAGGTTACATATTCCAATCGATACGCAAGCAATCTTAATCGCAACTATACATTTCAGCCTATCATGAACGGACTATAAATTGGGTTATAATTCGATTATATCACCAATATGTACGACATGCAGGAGGACTTCAAAGCAATCGCTGTGATCAGCTGTTACAGCCCAACATTTTGTCTGTGATGTTTCATTTCATTGCATTAGGTCCAAAGCCAATAATTGACAATGTTTTAATCTCAACGCATGCACTATGGAATGATCGGTGTATAAATTGTAACCGTTATTCTATAACGTTAGCTCCAAAGTTGCATATATTGATGAACCAATGCTATTTCCTAAAAAAAAAGCCGTGTTCTTTTATATATATGTGTGTGTGTTTTTCATGCAAGATTACCGTTCAAATATAACGGAATTCAAAATAAAATACATTTTATTTGGACGATTAATTCAACATTAATTATTCCTCCGAATCGAACACTCGTCTGCCATATATTTATCCCACTTGCTGAACAATATAACCGCACGTGACCGTTTTACGGTGAAAGCAGAGGCAAGTACGTATACACTGCATTGAATGTTTACAAAAAAAATCTACACACGTACACCCACAGCTATAGATACAAATATAATTATACGTCGAGAGTTGGCAGGGAGGCGATTTATCATCGTTTTTTTCCACCCAAGATTTTTTTTCTTAAATAGCGTTTTAAATTACGCAACTTTAAAGGGAATGCGGCTGAGAGATAGACTGTGTGTGTGTGTGTGCCCGAGGCAACGGATGTATACGAGACATGTGTATCAGGGCCATACCGCACCGGGCGTGCTTTCAACACACTCCCCAAACATTTTGAAACGAATACTTGCACACACACGCGTACATCCATACATCAATATATACATACCAAAGACAAAGGTCCCACTGTGTAGCCTTAACGGACTGTTGGGGCAAGTGCTGTTAGCGAGTAGCACCTGTGAAGGCCGTCACGGCACACGAGGGAGCTGGATGGCCAACACCACGCTCGGCCGCTTTTGTTTCCCCAGTGGCGATGTTTACGCATCGCACCAGGTGCTCATTTGAGGCTGAGTCGACCTAGGGGAGGCCCAGAACCGGTTCAGATAATCGTCAGTGGCGTTGGCCATGAGCGGGAAATTGAGCGGGGGAACTGAACTCGGGTCACCGGGGCTCGTAGCTGTACGCGTACCATACACACACGTGCACGCGCAGACACACACTCAGAATCGCATTCAGGTGAACTCCGTGATGATGCGGGGGAAACATTATAGCGGACCCTATCGTCCGCGAGATTTTACTCCACTTACACGCTGAAAAAAATAAAAATGTCGTTGATAATAAAAAAAAATATGCCGCGGATAATTGGGTCGGGGATTCTCTACAAACCGCGGGATTCCCCACAAACTCCAGTCCCCTCGGACCGCCGCCAGCAGCCTCTGCACGTGCCTTCCCCGTTCAAAACACGAATTAAGTCGTCAGCCGCGCACACGCACCGCGCGCGCCGTATGATTGTCAAACAAAAGCCTCGCTCCGCGGAGAGCGCAGCCTCAAGTGAGGATAGCGATCTCTCGTTCGGCATATGCGCGTATGCCTGCGTGCGTACCCGTGTGTGCGAAGTCCCACGTACTACCAATCATCAGGCGCGCGCGGCGCGTGCGACGGGCTCAGGTTGCGCTGCGCGAACGCGACGAGATGCGTGTTAGTTTCGAGGGCTCCGTGGTTTGGGGAAATCGCCCTCCAGGCCTGAGAAAACCTCTAGGCACCTCTCTTACCCGCCTTGCATTAGGCGGGAGGAGGGGGGGGGGGGCTTCAATCCATGCGTAGCGCGCTCATATCAACGAGACGTGATGTGTGTGTTTATCAAGACATTGTCATTCAATAATATCGGAGCCCTTTGCAACCTCGCCATGGCCGTCTCGGAAGATGTTGCTGCGCGTTGAGCATACGGGCAATTTGTTGCGCGACTTTATCAGATGGTGTGCGTGTCAAGTGTCGTGCGAATAGACCTCGACTCGATACACACAAAGACAAAGATTTCCCGTATAGCCTTATTGGACTGTTGAGGCAATTGCTTTTAGCGAGTAGCACATGTGAAGGCCGGCAAGGCACATTCGGGGGTGGGCAGTACCACGCCCGGCCGCCTTTTCTCCCGAGTGGCAATGTTTTTTTTTAAAAAAATTTACACATCGCATCACGTACTCATTTGAGGCTGAGTCGACCTATGGGAGGCCCAAGGACCGGTTCAGATAATAGTCACTGGTGTTGGCCATGAGCGGGGAATCGTACTCGGGGCGCCGGATTCGGAAGCGAAGCGCGCACCAACTGCTACACTACCGCTCCGCTATACACACACACGCACAAATTCTCGTGGACGCTAACCAGTCAAAGTGCCCAACACCAATTACGAACGATACCGCGTGCGTGCGCGCGTGTAGCATTGTTAAGCGTTGTTCCTATATCTCACGGTGGGTCCCTGTTCGCACGTATCGTAAGCGATGGGTGGCAGTGCGAGTTGGGCGAGTGAGGGGGAGCTTACGAGAATTTCCGAGCACTGGCTTTGCGGGCGTATTTATGAGCGATCTAGTTTAACTAGTTTTTATGAGTTTGATGTAAACAGCCGATCGTGTGCACAGTAGTCTGCGAATGCGCTGCCATACCAACTATTGCAGACGTTCTAGATACGCGTCTCACTTTGGCGATGTAACAAAAAAAATAGGTATATTGTTGAAAAATGTAAATGATGCCAGTTATTGTTTAATATGTGCATGTAATATTTTAAAAAGCTGTTCGATTTCAAAGGGAAATATAAGCAGAACTCAGCTGTGTCTCTCCACGTAAGAATAAAAATGTGTTTTAAGTCCATCGGCTGATTGGCTCTTAAGACAAATATGTTATCTACAAGCAGCCTGCATTTTAAGCAAGCAAACTCTGGACCGGATTCGACTTTCAGGGTCTCATCAGCAGTGGATTACCATATTGTATGATTAATAGATGGTATCAACATGTTGCAGTTAATCTACTAATTAAAACAATTCAACGTGAAAATATATAGAGCGTTATTATCTTTGCGCAGATTTATAACTGTACAGAATATTATGAGACCTCCTTTGCCAGAAACAAGATATAGGAATAGGTTTTACCCTTTTAACTGGCACAAAAACTGACACCTTTATTCAAGGCATCATGTTTGCAATAACCACAACACAAGCAGTCAAAATGCAAACAAAAAATACATTATTATCAGAGTTGTCTTTTTTGCTTGCGTTTTGACTGCTTGTGTTGTGGTTATTGCAAACGTGATGCCTTGAATAAAGGTGTCAGTTTTTGTGCCAGTTAAAAGGGTAAAACCTATTCCTGTACGGAATATGTTTATATTCTTAATCGCACGAATATTCACATTACGCAAAATCGATACGGACGAATCACGTACAAATACAAATTACGCATCCACTCGAAATGCAGAGCATCCGGTAAATCCATTCCGAACGCAAATTATTCAAAGCTTTCGATAATAAAGACGATGGATGCTTACACGCAGTTGCCCATCGCTCTCCACTTCGCCGACGAGCGCCAATGGGTCCTATCAATCGAGTTGTGTCCCGATAACTTCACAGGATGCGGCAGAAGACAGACGCGTATTCGCACGCGCGTTTGCACAGGTGCGTTTCATTGGAGCAATTACGAGTCATTTACAATTTACAGTGACTCGTAATTGCAATGACTCGTGGTTTCTCTACGAAGATTGATAATGAGAGCGGCAAGAGATTTTGGGATCTAGCCAGTCAACCTTGTTAAATGCCTTGCGCGAGGGCTGTTATTATAAGCCACTGTATATGTGTTTTTTTAAACTAAACTTTTCAGCACGCGCACTATTTGCTTGCTTATCAGATCTGGAGCCCCCCTTTGTACGCTTCAACAGTTAGACTTTAGCTCTCCTCGGTATAAAAATAATATAGCGCGTGTTACGTACACGTTGTGCTTATGTTACGCACGCACACGACACATTTGATCGTGACCAAGTCGTAGCACGTATATGTATTACAAAACATTCCTCGTTCTACCATCCACACACGTGGAGAGACATGTACACCACGACGATCACGGTACATGTGCGAGCTATACACGCATTGTCAACGATTGTACATGGATAAGTTCATTCATATGGTGGTTCTGCCCGAACTGTGCACCCCGTGTTTTTCTAGAGTTATCTTATCGTGGGCGCTGGCAAGTCGGCTTTTGGAGGCCTTCATCCAGCAGTGGATTGACCATGGCTTTATATATAAAAATGCGGCGCACTACAGTACTAACATCCACAACTGTATGCGATTCGTAAGCAGTGTCCCGAGTTCGTCCATCGCGTCAACTGTGTGCACATTTCTGTATTTGCGATAAAAAAAACAACTCACCCAATGCTTAGGTAGATGACTCCAATGCAAGGCAGAATGTGTAGCATCCAATGTAACATCCGCAAGCACATGATGATGAACGTCTGTGTGGAGCGGTGTATACGAATGTACAGCGAAGTGCGCAGTCACTTGCCGCTGCTGCTGCTAATGCTGCTGTTGCGGGTGCTGCTGCTGCTGTTGTTGTTTAGAGGCACTTGTTAATAATAACCAAGGGCAGTCTAATCCCCGGGCCTCGCCTTCTCTTCCATGCAGAAGAGTTCTCTACGAAATGTCAATCCGGTCCACGATGCAACCAGTCGTGTAAAGGAGGAAAATTAATAAACAAGGGAAGACGCGGAGCCAGAAGAGAGGGAGAAAAGAGGGAGAGAGGGAGGGAAAGTACGGTGGTGTTTTTATAATTGACGGATAAATCGCCGCTCTTCCCTCTTCATCTGTATGCATTTCATGAATGCGAGGCGTCATGAATTCCACGCACAGGCAGGAGACGGACACAGCTTCGATGAGACTCGGTGTGAGCATCGATGATGGTAGACTTCGGGTATTTTATCTCGTAGCTTCACACTCGCCCGATCAAAGCGCCCAGCACGGCCCGAGTATTCGCGCTTGTTTAGAGTAACTCTCCCTTGGGTATCCAGCTATCCCATCGTTCCGAGTCCCCTCCCCGTGTAGGGCTACTCCAAGTCACGCACACGTGGCGCGCTCGCGGAGATAGACACCGGCTTTTACTTTGATGCGCGCACGGCTGTACCGCAGTCAATGTTGTACGGGCGTGTGCACCGCAGGGAATGTGTAGCGCACAGACGATCTGCGACGAGAATGAATAAATGCCAAGAATTGCCACTTATCTTCGTCAGATTTTTTTTTTGGCCGGCGAAGTTTTACCACTCGCTACCTTCGGGGCTAAGCGGCTAAGGAACTGAATCTTTTTTGCTTGAAGAAGACGAAAAAAACATCCACAATGTGGCGCCGTTCCAAATTAAATAGAAGGTGATATGTACACTTTGGGGGGGGGGGGGTATGTGTGTAATCTTGGACCGGTTTGATATACATACAGGCACACGCACACATACAAATACAGACACCACGAATGCATCAGTCGACGAATATATACATTGCGTCTGTGAAGTTGGTCGGATGACACTAATGATTGATTATTATTAGTGCTCGCAATTGGGAGGTTACTCGACTCAAACCTTTATCGTTGCGGGATGGGATACAATGAAGCCGACAGCGCTTTAACTTTGGATGGACTCAACGCAGGAAGGAGGAATTTCCATCATTGGCTCGGGTTTGTAAGTAGGAAAAGTTTTTTTCGACAATTCGGTGTCAATTGCGGTGCTTAAAATACATTGAAAAAAAGTGATGTTTTAATAACACATCGATGTAGTTTTTCGCCCGTATTATGTATCTCAGAGTCCCCCATAGACCGTGATGAAGTATTTACAAAGCCACTCCAGCTTCCGTCAGCCAGTGCAGAGACCTATTGACAAGACCATATGTTCAGCCCTTTGTTTAATCCACCGCTGGATGAAGGCCGCCACTGACCGTTTCAGGTGTCGGTTTATAAAGGTCCCATGTTGTGGGTTTTTTTTATTTCCAAAAAAATATAAAAAAATTCACAACGCTCGTCAGCGCCGGTTGGTGATGGAGAGAGAAGCCTGCTTCAGATATCACTTGCCACTGATGTTCATCGAACTCAGATTTGCCGAATTCATAGAGCAGCGCGCTAACCACTGCGCCACCCCTCATTTATCAACGTCCAATCTACGGAGTGAAAGGATACAACTGTTGCCACCATAAGGGCCCCTTCGGCACACGTGTGAATATGCCGGTTCCAGGCACTTGTGTCCAAGCAGAATAGTATATCATTAATTTAAAACTTACATATGCGGGATGAACCATTTTTAATTATGCACTTACATATATACGTGATTATACCTACGGATCTTTTTTTCAATCCACTGCTGGATGAAGGTCTCCCCCACGCTGTGTCAGTTGCGAGGATTATTGTACCGCACGTTACTGCTACTATAGCCAGTCCGGATCGTTATAATATAACCAGCCACTGATGTTAACCGTGGCCTGGAATCGAAATTAGTTAACCGAGTTCATAGATATCCCCCCCCACCCCTCCCATTCATTAACCCGTATCGACCAGCGTGGTGAAGTATGGTCAAATAACGCACATGGCATTGGGGGGACTTTAGCAATTAATTTACGAAAAGAGTTGCAATAAAAAAAATGTTGTAACGTGTCCCACTTCTTAACCCGCATATGACTATTTACACGCAATTACAGAGTATGACTATAATTTAACTAACCGTACGTTATCTTACTCTCCAGAATAACACGGTAACGACTACATTTCCTTTATACTCCTATCATCGGCCATTGTCAATCCACTGCTGGATGAAGCCCTCTCGAACTCGTCAGCCCTCTTACGACCGTGCCATTGCAACAATCGCAACCGAGCGCCTGCACGCGGACTCATTTGACCGCTCCATCTCTCTTCTCGCTGGACGTTCTCCAGATCTCGTTCCATCCCTGTCGACTGCCAATCCGTTATTGATCTTGACCATCGGCCATCATCGCTTCTGGCTACGCGTCCTGTATTAAGAATATTCGTTATCGCCACAACCCCAGCATTGAGCGTGCGTGCGCAAATGAGCGGAACAGTGACGCTGCCTCGTGCCACGAACCCAGCGAAACGAGTTCGATTCCCAACCATTGCCAAACAGCGGTGGCGAGTGATATTTTGAACTGGCTAATTCTGAGTTCGACTCAGCCTTAAATGAGAAACCCTGCGTGGCGTGTTAAGCCGGCTGGGCATGAAACCCGGTCACATCTGTATCAAAATAACTGTAGAACTCATCCAATTCCTCTAGTAAAAATAAAGATGCTGATTCACACCACCACTCCTTCGTGATCCGTTCCGACCTTAACAGGTGCTCGCTAACAACACTTGCCCCCACACGTCGATGAAGAGGTTGCTATACGTCGGGGAATTTTTGCTCTTTGGGTTCCAAATAATACAGGCACGCATTGAAAACGGTCAACAAAAGGCTTCCTTGACATCGTGTTGAGCAGTATTTCATAGGCAATTGCATGCAATAATACACGCGTCTTATTTACCCCGCTACCGAGGTCGTTTGTGTGTGTGTGTTCTGTATTTTCCACAGCATTCTGCTGAAACATTATTCACCAACGTGACGTCACTTGTGTGCACACTCACAACGGCCGAAGGACAAGCGAGAGAAGCCCCCAGGGTGACTTAGTCACAAACCCATTCCGTAAATATGTTGACCAAATGTCTTGCGTGCAGTGGCTGTTTGATATTTAATTTTACAAATGTAATTCAGTACAACAAAATACAGGAGTGCGGTTTTTTATTTTTATTTTCGTACCTCACTTAAATAATCACGTGGATTCAACTTTGTAAATTTCACTTTTTTCAATTCAGAGAATTGCGAATGTGACACGTTAAATAGACTCTCGGATTTCATTTACGGATCTCCGCCACGGACAACTCCGGTTAAAACCATTCCCTGCCATCACATTTGTGTGAAACGTGGATAGCGTTGCAATTGTTGTGCCAACAAAACATCGGCCAGGCTTGGTGACTAACGCCTGCCATCTGGTGGAGGCTGATACGAACGCTGCCAAGAACTTTGACTCAATTGTGGCCCCATTCCCAATCACCAAATTCTGCCATCTATCGAGAAATGCTGAAGATTATTATAATTCTTTGGTTCTATTCGGTAAAGTCACGTAGGTAAAAATAAAATAACAAAAATCACGACGTTTCGGCCACAACACAAGTGGCCTTCATCAGGTGAAGTCACGAAAGCTTCAAATCTAGAATTATTATAATTATTTTGCTTTACGGAGCGCCTGATAATCATCAGACGCAATGTACAGTAAGACGCACCCCAAAACTGGGCGCCGTTTCAAGGGGCCGTCCATAAATGACGTCACGCGATTTTGAACGATTTTTGACCCCCCCCCCCCTCGTCACACGGCGTCGCAAAAAGTCAGACCCCCCCCTCAAAAATGACGTCACAAAGCTCTGCCCCCCCCCCCAAGCCATATTTCCATTTTGAAAATAAAGCATGCTTCAAATCGCTTTAAACTATTGTCATTGCAGTGCGTATTTAATGTGGCGCTGCACTCTGATGTTGTAGGAGTGTTGTTATAACAATTAGTGTTTTATAACAATTCTAGATTTATTTAAAGTTACGCATTTTGATGTGACGTCATATTTCTCAACCCCCCCCCCCCTCGTCACACATCGTCACAAATGTCTCTCCCCCCCCCCCCTAGGTGCGTGACGTCATTTATGGACGGCCCCCAAGAAAGGGACCGTATACAAAAAAATCTGGTCCCACGTACACCTACAGGGTTTATAAGACTCACCCAGAAAAAATGGCTCACTGGGTCTTGATACTTTTTTTATTTAAAGAGGCTCCTGCTACATTGGGACGTATGGCTTTGCGTTAACTCCACACAGATGTATTCAGGAATCCATTGCTGTACTCTACCGCCATCTCATGGCCAACTTGCAGCGTAAGACCTATTGTAGTGACTACGCCACTGATAATTATGTACTCACTAAACCACTGATATAATGTAATTACTACGCCACTGATAATTATATAGTCCCCAAGCCACTGATAAAATGTAATTACTATGCCACTGATAATTATGTAGTCACTAAGCCACTGATATAATGTAATTACTACGCCACTGATAATTATGTAGTCACTAAGCCACTGATATAATGTAATTACTACGCGACTGATAATTATGTAGTCACTAAGCCACTGATATAATGTAATTAGTACGCCACTGATAATTATGTACTCACTAAGCCACTGATATAATGTAATTACTACGCCACTGATAATTATGTAGTCACTAAGCCACTGATATAATGTAGTTACTACGCCACTAATTATTATGTAGTCACTAAGCCATATAGTAACTAAGCCACCGATATAATGTAGTTACTCCGCCACTGAACAAAAAGAACTCCACTTTTTCCTAATTTTCTTGCTGTGGTTTTCACACCTGATGATGATTGCTTGTGTTGCAGTCGAAACGTCGTGGGAATTTTATTGTTTTATATTTTTATTATTTTATTGTTTCCCTTCTACGTGACTTTACCGAAAGAACCAAGAATATGATATAATGTAGTTACTACGCCACTGATACAATGTAGCTACTACGCCACTGCCAATGAGTAAAAGAAACACGATTGAATCATCGTTGCACTGCACAGCGGTCAAAGGTCCGAAACGCCCAAGCGCCCAGCAATAAACAGCACGACTAAAGTTGTACTGCATATCAGGAGCCGTCCATAAATGACGTCACGCACCTAGGGGGGAGGGGGAGGTCAGACATTTGTGACGATGTGTGACGAGGTGGGGGGGGTTTGAGAAATGTGACGTCGCGTCAAAATGCGCAACTTTAAATAAATATAGACAACGCGTTCTACTTAATTAAATAGACTTTGTAATGTTTTCTCCTAGAACATCAGAATGCAGCACCACATTCAATACGCACTACAATGACAATAATTTAGAGCGATTTGAAGCATGTTTTATTTTTTTAATGGAAATATGATTTTGGGGGGGGGGGGCAGAGCTTTGTGACGTCATATTTGAGGGGGGGTCTGACTTTTGTGACGCCGTGTGACGAGGGGGGGGGGGGGTAAAAAATCGTCCAAAATCGCGTGACGTCATTTATGGACGGCCCCTCAGATCATAATTTAATACTTTTATTGAATTGGACATTATGAGAGGAAGTTCCAATCATCCACATCAACACCGTGGTCATGCGTTTGTGTAGAAGGGGGGCGTGTATGGATTTAGTTATAATGCATTGGTTATAATTAGTTTTAGATTTGAAGCTTTCGTGACTGCAAGGATTCATACTCTTTGTTTTTTTTTCGGTAAAGTCACGTAGGTAAAATAAAATTTAAAATAAAAGAAGACGGAAGCTTGTGTTGCCTCCGAAACGTCGTGATTTAATTTAGTTGTTTTCTTTTATTTTTAATTTTATTTTACCTACGTGACTTTACCGAAAAAACCAAAGAGTATAATTAGTTTGTTGTGCCCTGTATTGGAATACGATAATGAGGTGAAGATGTAACCTCTGGTAAACCTCTAATTAACATAATTTATGAGCGCGTGACATCGGGCGATGTGGGGGCGGTTGCAAAACCTCACTACTAATTAACATAATTTATGCAAGCGTAACATCGGCCTATTGGGACCCTGGTATAACCTCGTGTTGATTATTAACATAATTAATGCAGGCGTGTCATCGTGCTCTGGGGGCCGCGAAAAAACTCACTGAAAATTTACATAATTTATGGAGCCGGCGGCGGCAATGGCCTCAGCCAATGGTAAACCGCCGTGGCGACGACGTCACGACTGTTTACGTCGCTGGAATCGAAGAGGGCTGCTGCTTTAAATGTCCACGCTGAACTTCCAAGCACAGCGAATTTTTATTTGAGTTTTTTTTGCCTTCTTCCTCCTCCGCCTTTCGGTATTTTTTTGTGTGAAAACCGTCGGCTATTTCTGAAGAGAGTGCATCAGGTGCGTGGTGACATCCGCCAGCGTTTTAAACCGTTTCCCCCCCATTATTATTTCGTGACGATCGGCGCCGTTTGAATGAACGCGTTCTGTGTGAGGCCCAGGCCTCTCGCACTGTAGCCCACGCGACTTAAGCCTGTAAGCCAGTACTTTCTGAGGCAAAACTCACCAGAACCGTCGTGTGACACCGTTTAAAGAGCACCGACGCGGCTAATTAATATATTACGTTACCTCATGCAGTTGTGTTTTTTTATTATCTTCGAGTGACTTACACCAGTGTAAACTGCTATTGTGCCATAGGAATGTGGAGTTGCCACTCGCTGTTGGGCCTCACAGCTGGCACGCGCGCATTATTCAGATAACGTTAACACGTGTACGATTAAATACACACTTTATAATTAAAGCACTGATTTTTTTTTAAATGACTGCTGTGGAAAATGACGTCTGTCATGTTATCGCGGTTCTAGCTTTTGATGAATGCCGCAGAGGTGAAGGTGCAGACCCTGCAACTGCCTGCTCACGCCACCACGAGAGGAAACATCTCGAAAGCCCGACTAGGTGTTCCTCAAATCACTCCTGTATTGGCGTATAGCACAGAATATGCTCTTGGCCTTCATGGATGAGTGCTGTCCTGTCGTATGAACGTGGAATTTCCACAGCAGGAACACTGGCTGTTAGTGGACCAGTAGAGATTTAACAGCTGCGAGGCGTACGTTGTCCCTTTCAAAACGTATAAGATTGAATGTAAAATTACATCAAGCTGCCGAGTAACATTGATTAAATAGTTGACACCGCTGTGGCGAATTGTCTCTTGGAAATGCAGCAGAGGTTGCTGCCGTATTACTGAATAACCGTTATTGTGTCCTCTTGGTTATGCGATAGGAATGTGACATTCCGCTTGTTTGGCAGAAATTCGCTTTGTATTAATCGTAGTCACTTAATTATGGACAGGCCAAAATGACATGTCATGGGAATGTGTAATGTCCACCGCTGAGAACCGGACAGCCAACTAAAATGAGCACTGCTCCACACGTGTTTGAAGAGAATGAGTCACATTTATTTTGGTCCTGGGTTGTGATCTTAATTAAGAATCGGTTATAGGATTGAGGAATTTCCACCACTCGGAGTTGGCTTTGGGCGGCTACGATATAAACAGGCTTGTTTATGCGAGAAGAATTTTAATGTATTGCTTTTTCGACTTGATTGTGGCAATTTAACGCTTGGCTCTGCCATAGTATTGTGGGGTAAACTACTATGAGGCACTGGCTCTGAGTTACCACCAGAGATGGGAAATGCCCTAAATATTTTTTTACAAGGAGATTTTAATTGCTTGTGCTATTTCGGGCCAGACTTTCGATGTAGTTCCACCCAAAGGGCCACATGTTCGAGAGTAGCGGTTCCCAACTCGTGGTCCTCGCGGTTACTTCATGGGGTCTGTGGAAAATAATAATAATAATATCACCAAGGAAATGTACAATTTCAAGCATGCGGTGGTCCTCAAAATGGTTGGAGGTTGAAAAGGGGGTCCGCACACTCGAGGAGATTGGGAACAGTTGGTGGAGAGCATGTCCTTCGTGGAGATGGAACCGCGTGTTCAGCGCTAAGTGGACTGTTATGTTGCAGGAACCTTGAGGGATTGTGATGGCTTGGCATGGAATTAATCCACCAGTGGATTGATGATGGCTGATAATAATGCCGTTCGTTTTTGTTTTGTTCTTTGACTTTGTTAGCCCTGCTAAAGGAATGTGGAATGTTTACAATTTGGGCAAACAAAAATGAGCAGTGGGATAGTTTGAATTTAGTGACCTTTGCGAGTAAAGCTTGGTTTTCCAATACACTTCATACTGTATATTGCATAGTAATTTAATGTTCCACTTGGCAGTATGCATTGCGGACTGTTGTATTAAGTAGCTTTATTTACGCCCCGTTAGAGCCATTTTCATTCAGTGAAATGCTTTTCCATCATCTACAAATACATTGGGGTATTCTAATTGATTTTACCAATCATTGTTGACATGGATTGTTGCATTGCAACACCGTTAGATATCGGAGATGTGTGGAGAGGCTTTACTCCGGCAGTGAATAGATCGTGGCTGATATGCGAGCCCTTTGAAAGGTCTCTCGTTTATTGTTATGAGATACTGTACTCTAGTCTGTTATTGTATCCTATAATTACGTTTATTGGGATTTTTTTTACCAATTCCTTTCATTTCATTGTCTCCAAATGTAGTCTGCAGTTACAGTTATTAATGTAATTTCAACCAACTTAAATTATGCCAACTATATTCAGGCATTGTATGTTGTCATACAAGACCTCTAAAGGTAACTGTTTATAGTAAAATGTATCTTAAAAGCTAAGATGTATAATGGAGATGTTTGAATGACATTGAATGTTTGCTGTTTTCCCCAATTATATTATGTTCTGTGTATAAAGAGCCATGAGGCACGTGATTTTTTAAAATTTTATTTCATGGATTTGTTTTTCAGGGTAAACCAACAAGGTAACATGATTACATTCAACTTGGATATGAAGGAACAAGACGTTATGACTCTTCAATAACAGCTCATAAGATCTGTGGCTATCACATGCAGTATGTTTAATAAAAGGAAAAAAACGACTGTCAACGTATTAAACGCATTTAGTATTGCCAATTAGAATACACAAATCAATTATGCTGTTTTGAATCAAGTCGGATGTATAACTAAAGTACATTGGTAAAGTTGCATTCAGGTGATCCAGTTGCCTTTGGGGTTTGATTAACATTAATGTACTGAATGTCACGTTTGAAGAATACCTTGAACTGTTTATCAAAGATCATAGCAAGCACAAGCAATGAGCTCAGAGAGAGATTTTCTTTTGTTAATTTTAACCCTGCCACATTTCCCCGAAGTTCTGAGTCTGTGAATAGGACGTCAGTAACGGGCATGCCTGTGAGTGCACCAGAAAAACGGGTTAAGAATGGTAATAACGATGATGACCGTAAAGGCAATGGGAGTAGAGATGGTAGCTCAAAACCAGTGGAATCATCCATTCATGATGTCCGTGACGATAGTAGTCCTAAGGGAAATATGTTTAGCGTGCCATATTTTGGCGTTGACCTTGGTGAGGCCAGCAAGCACATTTCAAAGCATGTTGATCAGCACTTCTGGGAAAATGAAGCTACCCCGTCAGAAGCCGGGCAACGGGCGTTAGAACCAAGTCAACCGTCACCTGAGAAGCAACCTGTTGAGTTGGTTTCGGTGCAGGTGAAGAGTGGTGTCGAGGAACCGGTGCAGGAAAAGCTGGCGAGTGCTCGAGGTCAATCTCCGAAGAAAAAGGCGTTCTCAGACCACATCCGACACCCCGTCAATTTGGTGGGCGGCTATGTCACGGGGCTGGCGAGCAAACTCCGTGAGCCACGGCTTGTGAAATCTTCTAAGATGGGAGAGAAGGATGCAGCTGATTTCTCGTCAGAGAAAGAGGCAGGGCCTCCAGATAAGCCTGGCAAAGCTCTGTCTAAATCGGAGGAGAAAATGTTGAAGCTGCAGCTTCAAAGAGAGAAGGTAACTTTTGCATGGTCTAAGCTCCTGACCATTTGTACTTTTATTTCTCATTTGTGACACTCTGCACACAAACACTCCTCACTGTGAACACCTTGAATATTAGTTTAACTTATCCAGTTGCAGTTTATATTGCCAAATACTTTAATGTACGTCACCTTCACAAAAACAGATTTAACCAATTTAGTCATAACCAAAGCTAGTGTTGTATGATTATACCATTAATATAATGTCACTTTTATGGAAGTGGCTGTAAATTATGAAGCTATAATTGATCACTACATTGACTGCATAGAAACGACAGATAATGACGCCGGCTGGAACTTTTCACACTTGACAGTGAAAATGACCTTACCCTTTGGTTCTATTCGGTAAAGTCATGTAGGTAAAAAAATAAAACAACAAAAATCACGACGTTTCGGCCACAACACAAGCGGCCTTCATCAGACCACATCCGAGACAGCCTGGTCCCTTCACCTGATGAAGGCCGCTTGTGTTGTGGCCGAAACGTCGTGATTTTTGTTGTTTTATTTTTTACCTACGTGACTTTACCGAATAGAACCAAAGAGTATGGATCCTTGCAGTCACGAAAGCTTCAAATCTAGAATTGAAAATGACCTGTTGGCTTGTTCACCTTTCTCCTTCGTCCGTGAAATTTTTTGTTGGGAGCAGGTGCTTGCACGTGTGAGTGCGGATAGTCACACGCGGTGCCTGGTGCAGGACCTGAGAAAGGCCAACGATTTGCGCAGCCAGGTGTGCCGATTGGAGGACCTCAACAAGCATCTTGTGGAGTATCCCGAGTCCAGGCTGGTCGCTGTGGAGGTGTGCAAGCTCGCACGAAATTTGGAATCGAGAGCCAATTTTATAAAGCATGCACCTTGAACAATTCAGAGTCTTGACAACATGCGCATATGATGTATATTAGGCGTATTATTATAGAAGGATACTGCATCTAAACTGGACCCAAAGAGTGACCAACGTAGAAGTAAGAAAAAGGTTGCACATAGAAGAAGACCTGATAATGCAGGCAGTGATGACAAGGAAACTGGCACTATTTGGACATATATGTAGGATTAGCTTTACTACCCGGCTTCGCCCGAGACTTGGATTCTTGTCTTGGATTAATACACGACCTACGCGGAGAGTGGGGGGGGATGCGTGACGTCAGCAGGCACACTGCGTAACGCTGCCGCATGCGGGTGACCTCACAGATGTGACGTCACCGCTCACTTGCCGTGCAGTATATTATATCCATTATTGCACCTCCCCCCCCCAAAATACAAAGTCTATTTTTAGACTTTTAGCATTGTATACAGTCTGGAAGCTACCCACATGCCAAATTTCAAGTTTGTAGCATGTTGGGAAGTATGCTAAACATTTCTAAAAGACACACATTCACAAATTTCCCTTTTATATATATGTAGGGTGGACAACAGCGAGAAAATTCAAAGTGTGTTGTTTGGAAAATGTAAGAAACCGGAGAGAGAGGAAATCTTAACATAGAATGGCTTGACGACATAAATAGATTGGTGCCACATAAATCTGGCACTACTTGAGCATATTAGCACAAGAAGGAGGAAAGTGGAAATAAGTTAGGAAATGAACCTTATGGCGGGACCCCGGGGTCCCATAAGCCCCCAGCTCTCACATAAACTGCGTTGCGACATCATTTTATGTCTGTTGAAGGTGAACAAGCTCTACACAATGCACTAATCACAGTTTAAAAGTTTTGTTTATGACAACGGCAATTTTAGCAACGACGGGTGCTTGGTGAAGAAACGAGAGGATTGATTTATGGTGGGTCGTGGCGTTTATGTGCGTGGTGGGACGGAGTCGCCAAAAATAAATTAATTAATTACGATTTTGACTTCCGTTTATTCGGGACACCGGGGTCCCGGCATAAGGTTCAAATGTGCAGTAGACACCTACGGGCTATCTGCCCATGCATCGTGATGATGATGATGAGGTGTGTAAGAGTGCATCGATTTAATCCATGGCAATTGGTGATAATGTTCATAATGTATGTATCCAATTGAGTGTACAAGAATTAAGTATTTACGATTTATACGTGCTGTACATAATTGGTTTGCGTAAATCCTACAGCCAGTAGCGATTCCACATGCGTAATGACAAACTATCCATTCTTGAATTGAATTGTGACCCCCAATTTGTGAAAATTATTTAATCACAATGGAGTGAATCGCGATGTACCTATTATATTATAGATGTCTGATTCTTGCTTTTATGTGTGCAAGTGCACTTGCACGCACACAAAAGGGCATATTTTTGAGTGAGGCATTACATTGAATCCAATTCACACTTTTGTTTATTGTTTTTTTAAACAGGAACCACCAACATTATTGTTCTTCTCTTGTACATAATGCGTATTAATATATCTGACGCTGTGAATGTGTAACTTTTATGAGTGGGATGTACACAAAAACATTTTTGATTTGCCATCCTGAAAATTCACAGGTCACGATTCAATAAAAAAATGAAGATTTTTCTTTCTTTACATTGTTGTGAATGTGGCAATTGGGGTAATTGAAACCAAGTTCTTTCAACATGTATTGATATAATCATATTTTTTGCCACATATGATTAGAAGCATTCATATAGCGCGTAATAATATATTTAAATCAAGGAATGTATGCGATGGTGCATGCCTGTTGATTACCGCCAGTGTTTACTGTTGCGTAATTGGTCATAGAGGTATTGAGTAACAAACTACGTTTAAATGACATGGGACTGTCCAAAGTCCCAATGCACTTTACAGTATATGACTCTATTGACGCTTGTAATGAGCTGTATGTGACACTTCACCTCACAACAACCTAATTTTCCCGAAAACGAGTGACCAAACATGGCGGATAATTCAGCTCTGCAATAACACTAACAGTACACAGGTCGACATTCTTTAAATGTATTGTTGAACAGCTATTGTACCCCTGATCACCATGGTAGGCTACGTAAGGTGCGAAATAAGTTCAACCAACTTTGTTTTGGCAGTGTCGCAATGTCTGTAATTTTTGGAAAATGTTCAATTTTGGCAGCAGTTAAAAGAAAGCAAATGTACATGGAGGGTGCCGTTTCATTGTGTGCCTTCAGATGCACTTCTGCGGCCATCTGGAACACCCTTCTGTTATTAGGAAGCTACTGGAGTTATGCAATTGAAAATCGAGATTTAAAACTACATTTCATTGGAACTGCTTTGTTTGTTGCCCTTCACCCACACCTCCGATTACCACGGTTGGCTACGACGATGCGAGAGAAGTTCAACATACATACATACATACCTGTGTGCTGGGATGCAGGAGAAGGCTATTCCATGCCTGTTGCGGATGAGGCAGGCTGGCAATGAACGGCTGCAGGCGTCTGTACGTGAAGCCCTCTCTCTCGTCGGATATGTTGACCCCGTGCGGGGCTTTGGCATTCGTGTACTCTCCATCGACGGTGGAGGAACGAGGTAGCGCATATCCACTTACTCGTCTGCATCATTGTCTTAATTTTAGTGAAGTGAATCCTAATTCAGGGATTTACAAACTCTATTCGTCACGACCGATGACCCATTACATGCAAAGTGCTTTCCACAAATGAACTACAATATCTTGCTGATCTCGTAGAGGAGGGTAAACCATCACGTGAATTCCGGTCATGCTCGCAGCAGCGGCTTTTGGCTAACCATTGAACAAAGATGGTCACTGCATTGCGTGCTTTCAGATCCGCTTCCAAGGACGTCTTGAATGCTCTTCCGATGTTAGGAAGCGCAAAGATGCACTTTGAGATTAATTATTTGAATTCCATTGAGATGAAAAGGAGCATATGGTCAAATTAACATTATGAAAGTTAGATATTCTGACTGTTACGACATGTTTCTGGTCTTGGGCAGGACATGTCTCTGATGGCTGATTAGGGATGATGGCTGATTGTCGAGAACCATTGAGCGGCAGGCAAGGGAGGGAATGCGCCTTCTTAGAGGATGCCCACTGAGGTGGTGAAGTGCTGAGGGTCCGTTTGTGTGCAGGTGCTATGCACATGGTCATTTAGCAGGACCATGAGAGATGACGCACTCTCATCCAGCAATGGATTTATTGTAACTCTTCCGAATGGTATATTTGCTTGTAAACTTGTGCATTCTTTAATATATGTAATCGTTGTTAAAGGGACCTCCTTTGGCAAATCGCCCGATGATGCTGGAGGTAATTACCAGCGAAACGAAATCTTAAACAATTTAGGACACCTCATTGAGTTGGTCAGGTGGAACTTGAAATTTGTCCCATGCAGAAGGGTGTTATTGTCAGCCATTGCCGATCCACTGCTGGACAATGAAAGCCTTCCCATGCTCTCACCGATTGTAGCAGCACTGGTCCAGTGCTGCTACAATCTATCTCTCTCCTGCACATAAAATTATCTCATCTCTTCATCTCCGCGATGGTCACCAACTTGGACTCGCTCACTTCTTTGGCTGCCATTCAGTCACCAGTCTCGTCCATCGACCATCTTGCCATCTGGCAATATGTCCTGCCCAATCCCATTTACTTTCCTTGTAATTATGATGTATCTGATTTGTGTTTTTTACTTGATCCTTGTGTTCCTTCTTCTGTCCCTCGGTGTTACGTAAAACATGTATCTCCTCTTTGTGAACTTTTAATCTTTAGCCCTGTTTTCTTTGTCAGTGTGTTTCTAATTTATGTCATGGCTATCAGTTGGCAGTGATTGAAAATGCTTCTTTAGACACAATGGTATTCTCATTTTCATGTTAAACTTGAACTTCATCTGTTGGATCCTGGTCCCCCTTAAACAACTACCCTATGTACGCATATTCTGCTGTGTTTACAATTTGTGTCGTTTCAACATTCATATGAATATTTTTACAATTGGCTTGTCCGTTTTTTGCGCAGTGTTTCTGGGCTATGCTAGGTTTCACCTTTACTTATTTGTGCAGATTTAAATTTGTATTTAAAGCTTTCGTGACTGCAGGGATTCATATTCTTGGTTCTTTCTGTAAAGTCACGTAGAAGGGAAACAATAAATAATATATAAAAATAATTATATTATTATTTTATTGTTTCCTTTTTATTTGTGCAGGTTTATGGATTGAGACTCAAACTCATGATCTCAGAGGCGATGGCGCACTATCTGGATGGGCATAAAAAAAGTCCTGAGCTCTAGCAACTGGCAGTGTATGGGCTGCCACGATGGCTAGATGCTAACTACTTCGCCTGGTATAGAGGTGGTTCGATCCCGACCCTGACGCCTGTACATTTGGAGTATGCATGTTTTCCCCGTTGTCGTGTAGATGTTTCTCCAGGACCTCCGGTTTTCCCCTCCATGATTAGAAACATTCGTTTAGAGTATGTGGCTGCTACTAAAAGTTTCCACATGATATGCCACTTCATTGGGCGATCATTTGTAGCCAGGTAGCTTCTGAAAAAGATCTATATTGCTCAGTGGGCCTTACCTGGTAAAATAAAAAAATAGTTTATTGTTTAGTTTTACATATTGCACAGTAAGCGGACATCTCCTTTCTATAGCAAGTAATCAATTTATTCCTGGTTCGCTTCTTGAACAGCAAGCAAGGAATGCTGAATTGCATATTTCATCTATTGCTTTTTGAATACGAGTGTAATCTGCTCCAATGTCAAACCAACATCGCAAGCAGTTCCAATGACGTACGCAATGTCGGTGGCGTTGGGGGTGTTGTTGAAAATTCTTAACATTTTTACATTCTCAAATGATTTTATGACACTGCGATTGTAATGCTGTCATGCAATTAATATAGCCAAGAATGCTTCATATGCAACGTTATAATGTTTTCCTGTTTAACCTGGTAAGTGCAGCTTGCTTTGAACGATGTTGTTATTTACGCATGCCCAGCATTGGGTGGGGAAAGTTTGTCGCATTGGAGGCACGTGTTCCACTTGCATTGACATGTGTCAAGCAGTACAATGGGATTGATATAGAGCTTTAGGCTGAGGTGTATGCTTGGTCGAATATAAACCACAGAGAACGTTTGTACACTTCGTCTGATACTGTGTATTGGTAAACATTAAGCAATTGGTAAATGTATGAACTATTATCTTATTATATTCTTGGTTCTTTCGCTATTATTTTATTGACATAATTTCTTGCCAATTCTTCAGTAAGTAATGTATGCAACTGTGTTTAAATTGCTCGGCAACAGTTTTATTAAAGGCATATACGGTATAACAAACTACATTCTCTCTACATATTAATGCGCATGTTGTAATCCATCAACCTTATATACCTTCCAGACCAATGTTTTCAAACATTGTATAATTAAGCAAATTCTGCACTTGTCTTACTGCTTAGCAGTTGCCTTTAAAACAAATTATACGAGATTACTATAGATGCTATTATAAAAAGTACCCTCTAAAATATGGGATTCTGTTCAAACACATAGCACTACCATTAGTTCCCTTTAGAACAGTAATTAAGAATGATAAGGGCCTGCCCTTTAAATATAAATACTGCAACCATGAGTTTCAACATTTACCTGAAGAAGTGCATTGTGGTCCTCTTCAGTAACAAATTAAATTAAATGTCACCGACTGAAAGCAGGTTATACAATTGTAGATAGGTTTCATCTTCATTGGGGCTCTTCAGCACAGAATAGTATTTATTTTGATTGTGACACAATGCTGACAGCTGTTTTGCATACACATAATGGCTGTGTGCGTTTTACACATTTTTGCATGTTGCTTGAAACTCATGGTTTTTCAGCCTGCGCAGTTCTGTTGTGATGACTTTTTTTCACCATTTGCAAATTTGGTTACCGTAAAACCCTGCAGCAAGCACTCTATTACTGAATTATCCGTGCAATGTCACAGCGAAGGCATCAGATGGCGCCACATGCAAAGCTTTTGGTGTTCCCACATGGAATTCGCCAAATGTATTATACCGAAAGAGCACTGGAATACAATGGTGCAGTTTATCAGTAATTTGCGATATCTATTATCTAAATAAATCTAAGATAAGATCTATGTACGCATGTTGTACTTTTTTCGCACCGCACAGCCAACCGTGCCAATCGGAGGTGCGAAGAAAAAGGCAACAAGTCCCACTCTGGGAAACTCAACCATGCTCGTCCTATGGATAGACTTTCCTCCACCATACGATTTTGGAATTTCCCCCCGCTGGCCTCAGGTGCTGCATATATGGGGGGAGGGTAGGTTGAGTACCACCTCGATGCTCGTTTCGGAAGGAAGTAACTTCGACACCTTTTGCCTGTTTCCGAAGGGGGCTGGTGGCCTTGCAAACACTGAAGAAGCTGGAGGGACACACAGGGAAACCCGTTCACGAAATGTTTGACTACATCTGCGGCGTCAGCACAGGTACTGCCATTTCTGCTGTCCTCACTCGCGCACCCTTCACCGCATGCGTTATGTGTTTTGGTAATGCGTTGTGGTTGCACACCTACTTGCCCGGGATACGTGACTGTCATCGGCAAGGAGTCTGGATTCGCCTCTGTAATGTTAGCACATTTTCTGCACTAGCAGTTTGGCATGTGAGTAAGTGTACTTTAGGGGTGGGGGGGGGGGGGGTGGAGTGTTTTATCCCGCTACTCTAGCAGTTTCGGCTTCAAAGGCCACGCTAATTCTTAAATATAACCTTGTTTGTGACCCATAGAATGCAAATTTGCCATTGAATTGCCAACGTTTGTCAAAGCTTAATTGTGTTTCATACTGCAGTGTTTCTCATTTATTTCCTGAGAAGAGTGCTCTGGCGTGTCTGTTGATGTGTGTATGTATGTTGGACATCTTTCACACCATACATAGCCAACCATGCTAAGTTGTGTTGGGGGAAACATGAAATAATGTTCTATTCAGTGGGTTTCATATTATTGGGGTCTTCCGGTAAAGCCACATAGATAGAAAATAAATATCACGACGTTTCGATCCCAACAAGCAATCGTCATCAGGTGAAAAAATATAGCGGGAGAGCTACTGAGGCAGGAAAAAATATAGCGGAAGAGCTGCTGAGGCAGGATGTTTGAGATGGGTGTAGCCCAAGGGTCATAAGCGAAGTGGGCGGGGCTAGAGATGAAATTTGCATGTAAATGTAAGATCGGAGTGCTGAGCTACCTCCACGACGAAGCTGCGGAGGTGGCCATTGTATTGTGAGAGATTAGCATGTCAATGTAAGAAAAACGAGAGCCACCGCCACATGGAGGAAAACGAGCAACGGTGGCTGTGTTAGTGACACATTTAGCCTGTTAATGTAAAGACATTTAACCCGGAATGTAGTCGAAAATAACTGCTAGCATCGGCAGGTAGGATGGAAAGATCACAGCCGGTGATGACTTAAACTGGTTAATGTCCTTCCAATGATTGCTCAGTTTGTACCCATCTTCTCGGCTGAAATTGTGTCTGTGTTTATATATCTGGATGGCTTCATGAACGAATCTTTGCTGATAGCCAGTGGGTTTGCAGAGTAACTTCGTCTTGGAAAAAATAATTTTGTGTGTGCGCACCGCATTAAAACAATGATCAGCCATGGCTGAGGTATTGGTCCTACCGTGTTTCAGATATGCCTTATGTTCACGAACACGGTCCGAGACATGTCGCTTAGTATCCCCAATGTAACTGCTGCCTCAGACACAGCTTAGTTTGTAGACACCGGGGTATTGCATGTCAGGGATCACATCCTTCACAGATGGGATCAGATCATGAATTTTATGTACTGTGTTGAATCGAACCTGGATCTTGTGTTTGCTCATGATTTTGGAAATCTTTTTGGTAGCCCCTGCTATGTATGGCAAGGTGATGGTTTTGATTGGGTCCTCAGATGGTTCTTTCCCAACGGTTGGGGTGATAGCTTTACGAATTGTGTAGTCTGAATATCCATTCATCTTGAGGGCTTGGTGTACGTGCTCCAGTTCACTGGCTAGGTGTGGTGATGGTCTGAAATACGAGCTCTATGGTGTAGAGTTTTAATGAGGGCATTATTCTGGGATGGATGGTGGTGGGATTCAGGTTTTAGGTAGGCATCCGTATGGGTGGCTTTCCTGTAGAGAGTCTCCCATTGAGCCATCTGGTCTCTTTTTGATTAAACATCCAAGAATGGTAACTTGCCATCCTTTTCCACCTCCATGATGAATTTGATGGCTGGGTGTATGGAATTGATGTGGTTGAAGAATTGGCCCAGAGCTGGTAGGCCATGTGGCCAGATGACGAATGTATTATCTACGTATCTCTTCCACAAGGAAGGACGTAGGGTGGATGCCTGGATGGCATCTGTCTCAAATTTTTCCATGAAAACATTGCCTACAACTGGAGATAAGGGAGAGCCAATTGGGGTACCTTCAACTTGTTTGTAGAATGTTCCATTCCAGGCTAAATGTCTCACTAACACAGCCACCGTTGCTCGTTTTCCTCGATGTGGTGGTGGTTTTCATTTTTCCTACATTGACATGCTAATCTCTCGCAATACGAGGGCCACCTCCGCAGCTTTGTCTTCGTGGAGGTAGCTCAGCACTCCGATCTTACATTTACATGCAAATTTAATCTCTAGCCCCGCCCACTTCGCTTATGACCCTCGGGCAACACCCATCTCAAACCTTTATAACATCCTGCCTCAGCAGCTCTCCCACTATATTTTTTCCTGCCTCAGTAGCTCGCCCGCTATTATTTTTCACCTTATGACGATTGCTTGTGTTGCGATCGAAACGTCGTTATATTTGTATTATTTTTCTATCTACGTGGCTTTACGGAATGACCCAAAGAATATGAATTCCTGCAGTCACGAAAGCTTTAAGTCAATATTCAGTGGTTTTGTTTGAGATTCTGTGTGAGGATGGACGTCAATTCTCGTTAGATGACAATAAAATGGAAACTTTTAATGTAAGGCTATATAAATAAAAAATTGACCTCAGTGGATAAAAAAAGAGAGTGCATTGACATTGTTTGACAGTTGCCGTCTCACTGGGTTAAACCTCTGTGTCGTTAAAGTGCTGCAGTCAATGCCTTTGGGCTCCCCTGATATCAAAAGCAACCCAGACAGAAACTCATTTCACTCTGTTAGCATTTGGTTTTACCGCAAGCCACCAAGTTTCACCGTCCGTGGCATACATTCCGATCACTCCACTACGATTTTCAATCTCTAGAAGTGAAATTAAGCAAATTTGTGGCAAATAACCCCTTGAGAGGCTTGCTGAGGAACAGGGATAGAGTGGGAATGTTCAGAAAAGTGAGGAAGTTAGGGCATGAGGATTGAAACGAGGGATATTCGTTCACATGAGGCAAGGGGAAGTGACATGAGAGGAGGAAAACTTAATTTAACACGTTGGCTTTCGTGACCAGTATCCATAATAGAGGTTTTTTTGGGTTAGGTCTCATGAATATAAATGTGTCCTTAAACCCGCTACCACCCGACACAGCCAATGACTCCAGCCCAGCTCGCGTGACAAACCTTACTAATTGGCTGTGTTGGGTGGTATTTACGCGACCAAACCAAAGCGACACTACTGTGGAGAACTTAATTGCTGCCGGAGTATGAGTAAATGCACCTTTTCGTTATTGTGCCTAAAGTGTGTTGAGAAAAATTACCGGTGACAATTGTGCCTAAATAGGCACGAAGCATTAATTGGTCTGACAAAAAAATATCAAACGTATTAATCGGTGAACGCAATCATTTTTCTGATAAGTCAGATTAATAATGCAGGCTAGTTTCAAACACAGGTCCCAAGGTGCGTTCGATTATAGAGCGTATCATTGAATCCGTTCACAGTCATTGATGCAAATGCTCGAAACAGCAGTTAATACAAAGGGTTCATATAGAGCAAGAATAAAAGTGGAGATTGAGCAACAACATGTAGGAGCTTGATGGAGCATAGCTTGTAATAGTACTGTAGGCAATTTTGCCAACAGAGGAGCTGCTAAATGTATAACATTACAATAAATTACTCCCATTTTATGCTGGCACCGCTGTTGCTGTGCACGCGAGTGTGAAACGGTGCGAGGTAAATTGATGCGAACAGTTCCTGCTTTTCTGACTCGTGTGACAGGTGCCATCCTGGCGTTCATGCTGGGCGTTTACCGCATCCCGCTGCAGGAGTGCGAGGAAATGTACCGCCAGCTGGGCTCGGACATCTTCACTCAGAATGTCTTTGTTGGCACCATGAAGATGGGCTGGAGCCACGCCTTCTACGACAGCCAGGCCTGGGAGAAAATACTCAAGTAACTGTTCCCGTTTTTTTCACAACACAGTGCGCTGCTGGAAACCCCGGTCGTATATCAGATCTTCGTAAATTGCTTCAGGTAGTAGAAAGAGCAGAAACATCAACTTGCCGATTTTTTTTTTATCAGCCGTATAACACAGTTTAATTGGTTAAAAAACCCACTTGAGAATAACAAAAAGCTTCATGCCAAGTCACATCGGAAACCAGACTGTTCAAATGTGTCCTGGAGTCGTGTCGGAAAATGCGTCGTAAATCAAGTTTCTGCGTCGTAACTTGATTCATGGTGGCAATGATATAAACGTCGTAAATGCGGATCGTTGTAAATCGGACCATCGTAAAACCAGAGAGGACCACCTGTATTCACCCACTGCGCACGCATGGTATGACTATGATGAAGTAATCCGGAATGCACCTGATCCCGTCATATCTCGTAAGTCAAGCAGGGGTTAAGCCTGGATAGTGCTTCGTTGGTTGTCCACAATGTTTAAACTGGTCTTGTAGGCTGTGGGGTTTTGTATTGGCCAGCAGGGGGCAACGCAGCAAAATCCATTGGTGAACTGTGCTTTGATGCCCCCCCACGTTTATACTAACCCGCCTTCAGCAACCCACGCTGACGAGTGTGGGGGAGGTATGGTCAATCGACCCCCACGGCCTGCGTGGGGTGGGTAGAACCTCGCCCGGAATCGGATTGACAGAGGGCTGCCACATGTACATGCGTGCAAGGACTTGCGTATACGTTCCGTATGCGAGTTCATACTGCCAAGATGAGTAGAAACGGTATTCTGACTTTGTATTTATATTTATGCCTCAGGGATCACTTGCAAAATAGACGTGTCGAAAAATTAAAGATCCCTCTGTACATACTGTGTTTGCATACACACATCGTATGAAGTAAAATAATTTCAATCTTTAAAAACATATTTACTTGGGTAGGTTTTTTTAAACAAAAGCTTGGCACCGAGATGACACGGATGCTCTCATAATGAACATCGGCGTGCATTACAGAATTACATCCTGTCCTTTTGCGGCATGAAGACAGAACCCGCAAGTTACTTAATTGTATTCATCCGCTTTCGGCTCTCCACCGTTTGGATTTAGCACCGCAAGCTTTTGTCTCTGTTGCCAAATGCATATTGATTTGGCAGTGGATTCAGAGTGCGCAGCGTCTGGTGAGAGACGCTGTGGCTGACGTTGCCAGTGCCTGAGCCGAAAGCTACTGGGATGTAAAGCCATTTGCCTTTGCAAACTTGCATTCAGGACTTTTTTTGTGCGTGAACTGCTCCGTTCTGTGTGACATGTTACCGGCATATACAGTGAACGTCGATAATTTAAATTGTCTTTTTCCCATTTGTTTTTGACAAGGGAACGGATGGGAGAATCGCGAATGATTGAAACGGCTCGTAATTCTGGCACGCCAAAGGTAACTTGGCAACATTTAATAAACTGAATTCCAATGTTGTTACCTGCAAACTCTTGTGTCAATGAACAATCGCCCGTAAATGTACCCAGCCTTAGATCTTGGATGCTGAGCGAAGCCTGTAGAGTGCTTGAATGGGTGACCACCATGCACAGTACACAGGGGCTTTAGGCTGCTGCAACGCTATGTAGTCAGCGTAGAGTCATACTGTGAAAGCCCCTGATGTGCTGTTCTATGCTCCAAAAACTCGAACATCGACTCCCTCTGCGTTCACCAACCCACACTGACGAGCGTGGTAAAATATGGTGAAATAACCCCCATTGCCTGCACTGCTTGGCTTAGCCGCTCGTGCAGCATTGGATGCACAAGAGGGCTGTACCGGTACACAACATCTCTCTGCAGTAGGTTTACTTGGAAAAAAAATCCTAATTTTTAAAAGTACGCTATGGCACCAAAATCACAGTTGAGTCTTGCCTCCCGAGGCTAAATATGGTCCCAAAACATGAATACAATGTCAATAGAAAAGCTCACAATTCGGATGATTTTTTTTTGTGAGAGCCACGCCATGTTGCTTTGTGTTAACAGTCACGAATTTTTCTTTGTGGGGTTTTTGCGTTAGTGCTAAGATAGAAATTATTATGCACTCTACTATATTACAGCACTCTGCAGAATTGAATGTGTATTTGATGGGCTCTTCCTTTCGTGCCAAACTAAAGCACATCTTCTGCTGCCTCACTCTAGTTTTAATAAATTGAGAACCATTATCTGGTCTGGTTCCCGATACCCGTCATTAATTTTTACTGGCCCTCAGCATTCGGCAGCAGAGGCCCTGCATGTTTCGTGCATGAGAGTTCTTCGTACAGCATGAGAATCTCGGACACTCGATTTATTTAATGGATTTTCTGGAAAGTTTATAATACATTGTCAACCATCATTTTCTCGTAGACTTTCAGACAGACTACATACAGGAATGTTTAATATACCCTCAAACATTTGTAGCTATTAAAAAAAAACATTGTACAATATTGTGTTGGGTACATTCATATTCCGATAATTATATAATTAAACATTGGTCCTATGCTCATGACATATAAATCAGTGCACAGTGATTATATGTTTTTTTTTACACCATTTGCCTTTTCCCATTAAAACAAATGTATCCCTGTATACCCACGACCTCCACGTGCTTGTGTCGGACAAAACAGGTGGTGGCCGTGAGCACGGTGGTGAACGTTGGTTCGGCACCCAAGCCCTTCGTCTTCAGGAACTACAACCACCGCGTGGGCATGCGCTCGCACTATCCGGGGGCTTGCAGCTACCGCCTGTGGGAGGCAATCCGCGCCTCCTCTGCCGCGCCCGGATACTTCCAGGAGTACAAGCTCAACGATTACCTGCACCAGGTGACGCCCCCCTCTCGCCCCGTGCGTTGTGTAACGCTCCGCCAGCAAACGCTGCGTTGCCGTTCGGTGCACCGAAGTTCGAAATCTGAACGCGTGCGGAGCGGTGGCGCGGCGGTTTAGCGTGCCGCACTACAAACCCCGGCCGCCCGAGTTCAACTCTTGCTCATGGCCGAAGTCCGTGGTGAATATGTGACCTGATCCTGGGCCTCCCCTCGATCGACTCAGCACTAAATTAGTCCCTGTCACGGTGAGTCACTATCAACGCTGGGCAGACAAAGGCAGCCAGGTTTGGTGCTGACCACACCCACTGGCGGAGCCAGTGGGGGGGGGGGGTGGGGTGGCACGTGCCTCCCCAATGATCCGCGCTGTCCTCCAGACAGTCTCGTCCCTTCACCTGATGAAGGCCACTTGTGTTGTGGCTGAAACGTCGTGAGAATATTATTGTGTTATTTTATTTTATCAATTTATTATTTTATTCTCATTCTACGTGACTTTACCGAAAGAACCAAAGAAGATGAATCCTCGCAGTCACGAAAGCTTTAAATCGAAATTCGATCGGATCATTGGGGTTTATTAGTAATAAATCGGCATTTTGTGCCAGGGACTATGAGATGATAGGACAATAGTATGAGTCCATAATTGGCAATAAGTAACGGCAAAGCAGTTATAAGTGACTCACAGAATTGTGCGCAGTTGCGTGTACAGTACACGACTTCGCTGAAGGCATTCACCTTCAGCGAGCGCGATGCCGATCACACAACGGTTCGAATTCGACCCTCGATCGATGGCTGCGCCAGTTGGAGGGGTTGCCCCCCTACCTGAAAATCCTGGCTCCGCCATTGGCCACACCACCCCCGCGTTGTTTGTGATTTTATTTATTAAACTCGAGATAAATTCAGGTTTTGGCTAGCAGGACAGCAGAATATTGGTTTTAGTGCGAGTTAAAAGTTTGGTAAAAGATCGTGATGAAAACGCCTACTTCAGCCTCGCAAAGTAAATAGTCAATTTTCATTGAATGAAAAATACATCCTTGTTTAGTATTTGTTTGCTCAATAAATAGTGGGGTTGTAAGGTGATGGAAGAGCTAGCTCTCACTGCGCTATGAACCCAGCAACCCGGACTGACCAATGTGGTGATGTATGGTTAAACAACCCCTTTGACCAACATGCCTTTGAGCAGCCTTTATCTATTTGTCAATTGGTAAAGGTCTGTAAATTATCTTTATAAATAAGTAAATAGACAACAAACATTAACACACCCATACATGTGCACACACAAAAATAGGCAAAGATCCCCCATGTAGCATTAACAGGCTGTTTGGGCAAGTGCTGTTAGCGAGCACCTATGAAGGCCAGCATAGTGCACGAGGGAGTGGGTGGTCAGCACCACACTTGACCGCCAATAATTACACACCACACCAGGTGCTAAGTTAAGGCTGAGTATACCTAGTGGAGGCCCAGGGCTAGTGTTATTGGTCGTGAGCGGGAATCGAACTTGTAGGCGGGCTTGTAGTGCAGTGCGCTTACCACTGCACTACCGCTCCACACACAAATACACATATACACACACATACATACTGTTGTTTATTAGACATGTGTTTGGAATTTGTGTTATGGAAGTTTCAAATTCTTTCAGTAAAGTAAATGTTCTGCATTTGGATAATTTTGTGAAAGATAAAGACTGCAGTGTCATTCTTTTCATTACACATGCTCACTGGAATCTGAAACATTAAAAAAATGATAATGTTACAGTTGAAATAAACTCGCTTGCCAAAGGATAACTGTTGACGCAGCATCTGACCTAAATTGATCATTTTCACCCTTAGGTTGGAAGTCATTGCCGCTCAATTTATATTTCTGACCTCCACACGTGCGTTGTGGTGACATCAGTGACGTTTCCCGGAATTAATTGATGGCCTGAGCCTGCTATACGCCGTCACTCTTTTTGTCTTCACATGGGATGCTTCACTAAATCTGTCTCTGGAGCAATTCCACACGTGTACAGAAAACACTTGCACATGTTATTCATCTGGGTGAGGGTTAGTGTGCTTGGAATATTTAACCAGGCATGTTGTTTGCTTTGTACAACACGTGGACTCTCCTATGCTGATTGGAACATCTTTCATGAGCCATGTCAATCCATTGCAGGCTTAAGGGCCCTCCGAACCACCGCTATCTCTCATGATCATCTCTCTCACTTGGAGCACATTTCCTAAGGCAGTACTTGGCATACTAATGGTAATGGTGATTTTTTTTGTTGAAGTTACAAGCTAGCCATTTACCACTTATGCTGGCGGAAGCGTGTACGTTTTCAGAATTCTAATGATGGCTCAGAGACCAGCGCTTTTGTCAGCTGGATGTGTGCCGAGCACAACATGAGCCAATTCTTGGGTCACCAAGTGGTAAGCAGAACAGCAGCAGGATTTGTACACCAAAGTTGGCAAGTTATAAGTAAATGCAAACGTATTCTCTAAATAACTTATTGCAGAATGCGTGTTTCTGACACCAGTGTGACCCTGCTTTTTCTACTTAAAGACATAACCCGATTGGATAAAGCGTGGTGTGATGTATTCTGTGAGCTGAAGAATGAATTTTTTTCAAGCATAACACTTTTACTATAGAGTTGCATTTTGGGTGAATTTGTGTAGTACTTTGTACAGTAGCCTCGTTTGGTCTCTTCAATAACCTAATTTAAGGGTATTAATTCAATCATATGTGATTTCATGCACAAGCATTGCACAGCATGTGCTTGCACAGCCCCGTTATTTATTAAGTAGACGATGATATAAGGAAGCTTCCAGTTAAGCTGCCTTCTGCATTTCTTCATCCATACTATTTAAAAATCCATTCCAGAATAGCATTTAATGCCAATCATTATGCTGCCATTATTTTTTTGCCCATATCTATGGCACGTTTATTTATTTATTGCAGCATGTGATTCAATCACCTTGGGACAATGCTCATCAATAAATGTTTAGTGGGAATGTTGACAGCTCTTGATTTCCCACGGGATAGTGAAATCTGTTACAGCACCATAGGAATGAAGAGATAGGTTGAATTAAAAGAGTTTTAAAATGCTTAATTTTATTCTTTACTTTGTTTTTTCCCTCATTTTTATCTTGTTAAACGTTAAATGCAAACTATTGAGTAAATACATCTTTATTGGTTTTTATATCACGGCTTAGCGAACTTCCAAGTGTATCTCTGTTATTCGATAACGTAATTTTAGTAAGAATGCATCACCCTTTACAGAAGAACACACCAAAAGGGTTGTACCACATGAGGCTCATTATATATAATTGCAATAAATTGCACAGGGCTCTTTGAAAACTTAACAATTAAGCTTTGACAACAAACTAGTCGCTAGGAAGCCACCAATTAATCTGCAACCACTTCCGATAAACAAATAATAGTATGACACTGCAAAGTAATTGGCGCTTTACTAAATGACGGGCAGAAAGAAAAGCCAAAAAGCAGTGAAGGTTTGGAGTGTGGGACAAGGCTGATTTGGGAGGAATGTTTATTTTCCATTAAACTCGCAACTGCTCTTCCCATGCCGATTATAGAGGGCAATGTAACTTGTCTATTGGCCTCTTCACCTTGAATATCGATAATGAGTGAGAAGCTCTCTTTGAATACTTGAGCCATCCCTTAATATACAGTGTAAAGGATTTAAAGGACACCCAAACATTACTACAAGGATTCGTTTGGGTTCATGCTTCTTTTCATATTTTAAAAAAAGCCGTTAAAACCCTCGGGTCTTAAACATTACAATATGAAAATTACAAAAGCTAGGAAAGGTGCATACACATTTTGGGTGAAGATGGTTCGGTGAACTGAAAAGGGTTTTTGGTTTTGCTATTTTAATGTTAATTTCCGATAGCCAAGGACTTTTTCACACGCTAACCCTTGAGTAAAACACGCTGCTGTGGCCTAGAGAGCACAGTCGAGAGATTGCGGGAGACAGATCCATAATGGCTGCTACATCCAGGTCCATCCCACGGTGTTGTGCGTGCCTTTGCTGTTGCAGAAAGGTCATACATAATGATTTGGTGTGTGCTGAGGTGGCGGTTGCATAGTCGGGAAATCATGAATATGCTAAAACAAAAAGGAGAAATGTTATTGTAATATTGTGGTTTTAAGTTGTAAATAGGTAGTCACATTCACATGTCATACAACCTACTTAGGCTCCTGGTGAGCAGGAAAGACAGCTTCTGTGTTGCGAGACACTCGTGCCTGATTGAAATAGAGGTTAATTGATTTTTTTAATTTAGGCCATGAGGCTTTAAGTTTAAAAGCATTAGTTCTTCTCTCGTTGCAGCTGATGGCTATGCAAATGATTGCACCAATTGATGGCCTTAAGTAGTCAAGTTAATTAGTGCTTTGGGCCGGTATATTGATTTGTAATTGCACATCACATCTACAAATAAAGTGCAAATGAATGTAATGCACTGTTTAGAATAAGATAATTGTCATTGCTCAGCATATGCCCATGGAACAATTATGCAGTGTTTTTTTGTAACGCAGTGGTTTTTGTAACGCCGTATACACCATGATTACAGTTTGTAGCACGTTGATGAATGGTATGCCATTTGCTTATTATGTGGGCCACACCAACAATAGTTTTCCATGAAATGTAACTGGGTCATCAGTGTCATTATTGGCTTGACCTTGATAGTTTGGTTTTCCTGTTATCATTATGCAAGCATGTACAATTGCACTCATGCATGGAGTGTGTTTACATATCTACTTAAACAAACAATAGTCGTGTTGTCAAATAGATTTTGCTTTGCCGAGTACAATACATTGAGAGTACATTTCTGAACTCAATTCTATATCCGGTTTAATAGTTCATTAAAGCCACTGTTTTAGATGACAGCACACCAAACCGTCACTTGCTTCTTCCTGCCAGATTCTACAAATATTGCTATGAAACCTCCACTGTCTACTCTAAGACTATCGGAGCGTCTGTTTTTCGGGTTTTATATTTATATCCCATCGGTGCATCGAACGCTCTTTGTCGTTGTGGGAACAGGACGGCGCCCTAACGGTGAATAACCCATGCGGGCTGGCCCTTCACGAGTGCCAGCTGCTGTGGCCAGGCATGCCGTGGCAGTGCGTGGTGTCGTTGGGCACCGGTCGTCACGAACTCGCCAGCTCCAGCAACGTCTCCTCCACCAGCCTGCGCGCCAAGCTGAGCAACGTGATCACCAGCGCCACGGACACGGAGGGTGAGTGTGCGGTGCAACATAGGCGTAGCTACCATCGCGTGCTCCCTCTCTATTTTTTGCGTATGAAATATTTTCGTTCCACACCCTCCTTCACATTATACATTGCAACATTCCGATGTTCCCGGGCGGTAGTTCCAGGGGCATCGAGGGTATCAGGCACACCGGGCTCATCAGAGCAGACCAGGGGAAACTCAGGTTGAATGTGTTGATGCATGAGCTTTGTCGTTCATTTGACTGTGACGTTGGGTCACGATTTCACTCTTCGCAAAGGCATTTCATTATCAATGCAATAATATTATAACGTTGTTTCCCTCATTGGAGACTTAACCCTCAAGAACATCGGGGAAATTAATTATAGCATTACCCATAATTTGGTGCTTAAAAAACCAGCGGTGATGGGGTAAGCCTCCTCAGCCAGTGCAGTGTCGTCATACGACACGACGCCATAACCATGCGTGGTGTCATCTCACGACGTTACAGGACAGGTCATGTGCGCACCTCTGCTCATGACGTTCGGCCGTGTCATGTTATTATCATTAGCTTGATACTTTCAGAGAAAAAAAATAACTAATGGTAGAAAGCATTAAAAATCCATTGGTATTTATTTTCCGAGATGGTAAACTAACCAACAGTTAAGGAATGACCCAATTTCACCTTGTCTCCTTTTAACGTTAAATCCATCTGTCTTTATTGGTATAAACCTTCAAGGTTAATTGGTAAAACAAATTAAGGGGGGGGGATTTCAAGGTGAAAGGGCTAAATGTATAGGGACGAGGTGAGGGGGTTTAAATATGTGCAGAGTCGTCATTGGAACTAAAGGAAGAGTAATGAAGAAAATAAGGGGAACATTAAATAAGAGTGAAACCACCTGGGTACGAACCCAGGCGGATTATGTTAACGCCCCTTAAAGGGTTTGGTGGAGTATAAAACAATGGGGACCAGATCTATTGGCAAGCCAACGATCTGTTTTGTCATTTTGCAGCCCAAATGCTCCATGGGCATTACGCGGAAAGGTTTATTGACCCAAATGCTAAACTCAGGAGGATCATGTGTTTTCCAGTTTTGTAGTTTGCCATGCAGAAGATCTTCATGAGAGCCTCCTACTCCTTTAGTCTCTTATGTTGATATTGTCTGTCCATAATTTAGTGATGAAATTAGAGTATTTTATTATAAAAAGCATATATGGAATTTATGGTGAGCTATATACAAGAGAAGTTACGCAAGTTACAGATATATTGACGGTGAAGAAAAATAAGTGTGCTTGGGAAAGACACATCCCTTAAAGGGATTATGGCCAGTGGTCAAGACTAACAACACAATGTTAGCTGCTGCCAAATGAGGGAATGTGCCAGAAAGGGTGCCCACCATGGAGATGGAGCAATTACTTAAGCTCACGTGCAGGTACTCTTCAGGTTTCATTCCATCATAGGTCCGTGACATAGTGACTGTTTGCGGAGGCCTTCATCCAGCAGTGGATTGATCATGACTGATGGTTATGATGTATAATTGGTTTCAGTGGCAGACAGCAACATGAACTTTGGATCCTCGATCTAAGCGCGTGGTTGGACAGCCGTGACTTTGCATGTTGTCCTGGCACTATCATTGTTTTTCAAACATTTTGCAAGTTAGATGGCCATAGGCCTAGCCCCAGTAATGGTTGCAAAAAAAAACCCCGCATGGAGCTTCTATGAAACGGCGGAGGCAACAGACTGCACTCCGCCCGGTAGTGACAAAAGGGTGCATTTTACTATGAAAAAAAACCCCACATTTATTTGGCAGTGGCATAATACGTTTGTTCTGCTTCAGTTGCAAAATTGTATATATGCAACCATGCTGGGAAATGATATGGAGTATACAGAAAGGTCTGCTTGAAAATTTGATTTGCTGAAATTCTGTACATTTTGTGAATATTATACTGCTCATGATGATCTTTTGGGCTATAAATCTCCAACAGCAAGCATCCTCTATCAGCAATTTTACTTTTATTGCACACATTTTTTAAGTAATTGCTATGATGAGATATTGTGCTGCTGATTTTTGGGTGCAATTATATTTTATTAATGTTATTCGTTGAAGAAATCCTGTCTTGAGACCTATGACCAAAATTTGTTTTTTTCAAAAAAGCTAGTTTTCTAATGTTCTGGAGTGAGGCTGCCAAATCAACCCAGTAGACTGGCAAAACACTCTGGATAATTGAAACTGCTACATAAATGAGTGCTCTGTGTTTAATAGTACAGAGAAGCATTGCAATTTAATTGCCTGTTTCTGTTACATTGATGTTAGGTATGAATGCTTGTATATCACTTACATTGTATCGATTTCGAACTTTGCTTCCATGGCAGTAGAGCATTCATTACAAATTGTTCGTACTAACGTTTCATCTGATCCGGTGCTACTGTGGTGGAGTGCTTGACCTATAGTCGAAGGTTGCGATTTCATATCCTGCTCCAGGTGCAACTCGGCTAATTATCCCTCCCTCGATGGTCGATAAAATAATGATGACTGCAACATGAGAATGAATAAGCATCTGGGAAATGCAGTGGTGTAGTGATTATCCAACCACGACACCTGTCCTTAGTCGTCCCACTTCCTGCACCATTCCACACACCGATGAGTGTGGTGAAGCATGGTGGACGAGTGGGGGATTGTGAGTGAGTGTGTCAGAGGGTGTGTTGTCACGATAGGCAGTATTGGGGGGTTGACCAGAGCGTGGAAGAGACGAAACAGTCAATCTGGTAGATTGAGTCCAGAACACGGGCGTAGGCGTCAATGAGAGTGAACGTACCCATTGCAGTAGCGGTTGACTTATAAGGAGGCAACTGACCTCTCGTTGAGTGACTAACTGGGCTGCATCCACGAAGGCAAGATCATCAAAGGGTGCCACGGTGGAGCGATGTTAACTCTCTCGCCTGATATACAGAGGGTTGTGGGTTCGATCCCGATCCTGACGCTTGCTGTATATTTGGAGTTTGTATGTTCTCCCCGTGGTCGCGTGGATTTTTCTCCGCGTCCCCCGGGTTTTTTCCCTCCACATTTCGAAACAGCATGCATTCAGAGTATTTGGCTGCTACAAATGTCCACGCGATAAGCCATTTCGTTGAGTTGTGTCACTTGTGGCCAGGTGCGCTTCTGAAAAAGAGCAATATAGGCTCAGTGGGCCTTACCCTGATAAAAAAGTGTAATAATTTAATAAATCAACATGACCACATACATATTCTTGGTTCTTTCGGTAAAGTCACGTGGAAGGGAAACAATAAAATAATAAAAATATAAAACATATGTATTTTTATTATTCCCTTGCAGTCACGAAAGCTTTAAATTAAAATTTATGACCACATACAATTTAACACGTAGGCTTTTGGGACCAATATCATCCATAATGCTTTTTTTTGTTATATCGCATAAATATAAATGTGTCGTTAAACTCACCCCCACCTGTCACAGCCATTTAGTAAGGTTTGTCACGTAAACAGAACATGCTAATTCGTTGCTAGTAGAAATCCATAACAAATCTGGCTGTCACCTGATGAATCTTGTTGTTATTACTTGCAAAACGTCCTACTCAAGATTGTAAAGATTGTGGATTTGCTCTCCAATACACCGGTGTGCTGTACTAGTAACGAATTGGCATGTTCTGTTTACGTGACAAACCTTACAAGTTGGCTGTGTTGGGTGGTGACAGGTTCTTCGCCATTCATATTTACGCGATCTAACCCAAAAAAAAACTATATTATGCACATACATACAAACAAACAAACAAAAATCAATCTCACGTACGACTCTTGATCATCTCCGGGTACCCCCTGTGCGCTGGACAGAGGTGCACACGATGCTGGACGGCCTGCTGCCCGCGGACGCCTACTTCCGCTTCAACCCGCTGACGCGGGAGGACGTGGCGCTGGACGAGCGTCGAGCCGAGCGGCTCAACCAGCTGCAGAACGACGCCCATGCCTACCTGGAGCGCAACGGTGCCAAGCTGGAGCGGGCGGCGGCTCGCCTGAGCCTCGGCAAGCCGTGGCGGCAGTGCGTGGCCGACCGCTGGCAGCTCTGGAGGGACACGATGGGTGTCCGGTCAACCGCCATGTCTAAGCTGTGACTGTGGATTTTCCGGCGATTTTTTTTTCCCTCCCCCCGTTTTTTCCGTAAATCTGAAAAGCTTTTCGAAAATGAGGGCCTAACTGATAACTTTGGCGGGTGCTCCCATATGTGTCCGATTTTTTTGGCATCAATGTGCCGGTGTTTCCGTTACCAACAGTTTGACAAATCGCCAGAGCAATTGTGGTTTGTCAAGATATGAATGTGGCCCCTGGACGTTGCACTTTCTTTGGACAAGGTGGAACGTATCTTGAATTTTTAGTTTTTATTGGAATCGTGTTTATTTTTTTTTCCTCTACAGAATATGCATGAGTGCTGCAGTGATGCGTGCCGCATTTATGGAATTTTGCTGCTGAATCCATGGGATAGAGCAATGTGTAGCAGGTTGCGTTCAAGACCTACATAACTGCAACAGTAGGTGGGGAGCACTTTTCAACAAATGTATGCTGATCACTGACTGGCAATGATCACCTTTCTCCTGTGCTTCATAGTATTTTCAGTTTTTCATTCCTTTTTTTATCAACAGTATATGCACGGTTGGACGTCTTTATGTTTTGTACATTTAAAATCAGTGCCGATCATTGTATGAAATTCAATGTAACTACCATTAAATAAAACATGGAATGCTAATGTCACAATGATTTGACAAAAAAATCCTTAAATATTTTTTATATATTCTACCAGCTGTTAGTGTTCCTTAAGTTAGGATTTGTGTTGTTTTTTTCCCCAATGATTTGGTTTCAGTTTATTTATTTTGGTATAGCCCTGTGAGCCATTCGGCTCTTGAATCGGATGCAACCACAACAAACAAAAACACGAACAAGAAAACATCTTAAAGTGACTTTGTGACTGTGCAAACAGAAAATCCATGAAAAAAAACCAGCAAAATATTCCTGAAAAAAGCACCATACACCACCAACGCTGTGTGCAAAAAATCCCAGTGGGATGCAAGTCAAATAACAACAACAACCACAAGAAAACTTAGATTAAGGTCATCAGTCTAACTCCGTACTACAATAACACAAACATGTCCAAACCAAAAAACTTTTCGAAATCACCAAAAAGTAAAGCCATAATTGCAACGTATTTGTGATTACAGGGACTGTAACCGAATTTTTACAATTAACTACATAAATAACATGTAACACCAAATCCTAGAGCCATAGCTGGCTGCATGAGTTACTCCACAACAATAGAAGCATCAGTCGGAGTACCAAATTTTTCAATGCACCTTAAGATCAGCACGCTAAATCTAAATACAGATAATATTTTGCAGCATCATCCGGAGCGAAACATTTTATTTTACGCCAATGAATAGCAGTGGCAGCTAGGGGTGTACATCTCCTCTAGAGCAGTTTTGAGAGAAGATCTCATTGGTAGCGATTCAAGTTGCAGTTTATGGGCAATAGCATTCCAGACCCTGGGGGCATCAATGTGAAGCTGGTAAATGAGCGAAAACCTTAGGTCAAATTTGTTCTTTGAAACAGAGAGGAGATCCAGCAGGTAGTCTGCGGATTTTTTTTGTAAGTACATCGTAAATAAATACGATCTGGTGCACAAGCCGTCGAACATTAAGAGATGTTAAGTTTGACCCAATGTAGAGATCACAGTGGTGAGTCCTATATGGGCAGTTCAATGTAAATCTTAAGGCCGAGTGATAGATGGAATCAAGCTACTTCAGTACAGTACTTGGGGCTGATTTATACACGATGTCACAGTAGTCAAGTAGAGGCAGTATGGTAGTTTTTATCAATTCCAAACCGAAGATTGGGGGGAAGCAGTGCTTGTGTCGATACAGAAAACCAATTTTTATTTTTGTCTTTTTTCCAATATAATCAATGTGATCTTCAAAATTCAGTTTTGAATCGAGGATGACCCCAAGATACTTATAGATCTTGACTTGCTCTATTTGATAATTATTTAAGGAATGTAATTGAGGAAAAATAACTTCCTTGGTGTAACATGCTTTGAAATAACATGAAAACTAGCTAGCGAAATGGTACGTTAGTTAAAAACTTTGAAAGTCATCTTCCTCATTCTAAAATATTTTAATCACAGGCTCACAACATCTGAATATGGGGTACCAACATTTAACATTGTTTACTAACCTACACGATCACAGGCTGTTGGACTTTAGTCAACGAATAAATTGTGTTGCTATGTTCTCCCCGTTCTGTAATTTGCCGAGTAATCATTATTTATATACAGTGTACTTGCCCATCATTAAATTCAGCTGCTGTAAGGGAGAAAAGTGCTTTTGAGACAGATATCTGCATAAATTGTGTAAATTCCTGTATCCTTCTCCCCATATTCCCTGTGCACCACTTGTCGGTAAAGCAAGATGATACTGTTTGAGACTAAAGTAGGTCCTGCTGACTGTTTTCTATTTACTGCGGATGCTGTCCAAGTCGTGGGCTAGCAAGCCTCGGGAAACAGGCCGTGCATTCAAACAGTTTATCTCGCATAGTATGGCATTTGCTGTAAGATAAAAAAAATCCCCTGTGAAAAGCACCCATAATTCTGTGTTTATTACATATTTTGTAAACTGGCAAATGTCATGCTTATCGCCTCGTCACCAATGGAGCGTTGGAATCGAGTCCTTGGTTTGCAGGAATGAGGCAATGAGACTTAATTTTAATGTTCACGTCTGCAATTGTTATTGTAGGTTACTAATGGGTGTCACTATAGCAACACGCAAAAGCCTCATGGCAAATCTACAGTAGCCTAATTTAGTTAATCTGTTGCTAGTAATATTTCTCACACTAAAATAGACTTCGAGTTTATAAAATATTTATGTTCGGATTATTAAATTACAGGATCATGAGAGGTGGTGGTAACTTTGGGAGGGCATCATCCAGCAGTGGATTGATCATTGTTGATGATTATGAAAGTGATGACTGTTTGTGTTTCTAATGTATGGCATGAGTGGAATACTTTCCAAGGCTAATTGCACAAATAATTGGCTGAACACGTTGTATCTTGATTGCTCAAGGAACCTGACAATGTTTTATTAAACCAGTGGGTCTGAACCTGGCGTGCACCTCGCACCCCCTGGGAGTGCGAGATGCCCTTTCTGGAGGTGCGAGACATGGCCAGATGTTTTTAGAAGGTAAATAATCGAAAACACAAATTAATCACGGCCACGGAAGTGCAACTACTCTTGTTTAATCAAACCCTATGTATTAAATCTTGATTTGTATTAACATGGTTTTTTTAACGACTGAGAACCAAAGAGGTGCAGGCTGCAGTGACGGTGAAGAACCGCTGGATCACACCAATTACAATACGAAATAACATGTGACACGTTCATTGCCATTCTACATCTCCTGTTTTGCACGAAAATTGTATATTTTCACTGGCATTGAAACTTCATCATGTTAAAGCACTTATTATTTTAAGAACTGATTCACAATAAAATGGTCTTTTATGCCTGCATTAATAAGAGACACTTTTAAAATTGCTTAATAAATCTCAATGACAGTGGAACATTTAATTTGTTTCAAACCTGAGCACTTTCTACAAGATTGTGTTTCTTGAAATTAGTAATCTCGAATTGCCGTATACGTACATAATTCATGAGGTGCTTATTTACATTTTGTAATGTTAATATGCTTATGTTGCCGTCCATATGTTTGGCCACATCTATGTTTCCCCACTGCATTTATAGCAGCTAAGTGTGTTTACATCTCACGATTATTTGATAAAGAAATGCAAACAGAATCTTCAACTTAAACAAAATGGTTCACATGGCAGGGGGAATGATGGAATTTTGGAAACTAATTACATTCAAGCAATGAAACACGTTTGTAGAAAATGAAAACTAGTGGAAAACAGATTTTACCCTTGACTGTCAATTTGCATGCAGAACAAATTACGTGTTGCCAAATTGTATTCTTATTTAATGTTAGGTGGTGATTAGTGGTCTTGAATCGAAATGCATTTATTATGAAGAAGAGTGACTATGTTAATAGCCATGGTCAAGTATTAACATTCTCTCTGGCCATGCCCAGCTTACATTGAAACTTTTCCTGAAGTGCATCCCAAAACAAATGTTAACAGTTTTTATTTCAGAGAAACAATTGATTAATGTCATTCACTGTGGTTATTAATTATTTCTCACTGCCAGAACGCCATATACACGATAGAGTACAGTACTTGCATTAACTCAATATAATCCCTGTCTCACAATAAAAAAAAAACGTGTGTAAAGTGTATGCACGATTGTAGCCAATATTACTTTTTACAAAAAATAAAATTAGCAAATCATTGACTGCAGCTTCATGGATGGATACGAGTTTTTAATGTGTTCTGTTGCTGTTATTATCGTCAGAGACTTATCTGTCATTGCGATGCAATATCGTTAGCAACAATAATCATGTTTTAATATTGGTTGGTTTTAAGCACTATGCACGCGCGTGTTTTTTAGCACACGACCGCGGTGTCTTGAGGACAAAAATCAGGCAAAACGGATGTGGGCCGCCAAACGTGTTCTCGGAGCAGCATTCTGGACTTATGGCTGAAATTAAGCAATGCGTGGACATACTCTGGTTCTTTCGGTAAAGTCACGTAGGTATAAAATGTAATTATTTTATATTTTGTAATTATTTTATGTTTTATACCTACGTGACTTTACCGACAGAACCAAAGAGTATGGATCCCTGCAGTCACGAAAACTTCAAATGTAGAATGAATGCGTGGACAACTCGTTATAATTAATCGATTATATTAAATGTGATGGTTATTTGGGTCCAAGTGAGATTGTTATCGGGGGAAATACAGTACCTATTTGTACATTTCTGGGGGGAAAATATATATTTGTACGTGTGCGTAGGAACATAGTCTCACATAGTCTGCCTCTGAAGTACTTAGGGTGACTCCGTCTTCATGGTGTCTGTCATCCAGTAACATACATCAACACAGCCATTCTTTGTTGACCGATACGTGTTCAAGCAAGAAAAAGTGTTTAGAATGAGATGGCATGATGGAGTGCATATACAAATATTTACACAATGCTGTTTAGTTTGTCCACCGTTCTGTTGGATGACCATGTTGACTTTGAATCTCTATAGCAGTGAATCAATGTGCCTATTTTATGCTGATGTGATGTATTAGGGCACATCAGCACATTGTAGCCCTGCTCCCTTGCCGATACATTCTCAGGCTTGCAAATCGAGAGGCCACACTTGAAGGATTACCGAACCCTACATTTCTGGAACACATTCCTGCGGAGGGAGCTGGTTGGAACGTTGGGTTGCTCGGTCAATGGCCAGGGTCAACGGCGGCGTGGTGTATTCCGCAAATATGCCCGACTGTGAGGGCGGGCACAAGCCGGCGTGAGTAGGTTAAACGTTGAGTTTTATAAGGGCACCACGGGGTGACCAGCCCCTCCCCACTCAGCCCCACCCCTCCCACCCCCCACCCTCCCCACCCAGCCCCTCCCCACCCTCCCCTCTCCACCCAGCCCCACCCCTCCCATTTTTGGATGCACGACGGACGGACGGACACAATAATCCCCTGTGGGCTGGTGTAACCAGGAGGTTCCTACCAGTACAAGCAAACGCATTCTCTGACAAATAAAATACTCCAGCTGCTCAAGACGAAGCACGTCTTCCATGTCGACCAATATTTACACGTGTACTGTTTGAGAATATATGCCTTGCGTGCACATATACTGAGCCACGTTGTTTACTTGAAAGAGGCAATTTATGGTACTCGAGTCACTGACTTTTGGCTCTCGAGTGTAATGTATAAATCACGGATCGTACCAGGCGTTGATTTCTCAATATTTTGTGGAACGCTGCTGCGATGCCTTGGAGTCGGGATTCCTGG